ACAACACTAATGATAGAAAATTGTCTAACTAAGAAATAAATCTGAACACCAATATCTTTAATTCAGTACTTAACTCTGTACAGATGTGTACAGTGTTGTTTACGTGACATCACAATGTAGCATCTAACAGCGCCTGCAAAAACAGTCAAAACAAGAACGCTATTTCAATATCGCAAACTAGTTAAATTTCACATCTATTTCACTATAAATACCCTGTATTTCGCTTGTAAAATGTAAAGTGAAATAAAATAATTTTATCAACGTTTCCAAAATTCATTAATCTCAAAATGTTTCTGCAAACGGTAGACTTAACGACATTTTTTTCAACAGGCTAGAATAGCCTTTAAAGGAAACTCTGAGGCGAAAACAAATTTAACCGGCCAACTTTATTTTTTTTGACGTGTTAGAATAGAAATAAATATTAATTCTTCGTGCATTGTAGTATGATAATGCAGGGTTTTCGTTCAAATGCTTCCGAGGGATCAATTTGTTTCCAGATTTTTATTAATCAACCATGCATATCGGCCTACGTGATTATATTCCTACGCATTTGATTTCAAACCGTGCACTATTCTACAACAATGCACTCAGAATTGATATCTATTTCCTAAATGTAACTTAAAAAACAAAATGACAATTTTAAAAAGTAACACAGCAGTAACATACGTTTATAATCCTTTAAGGTTGACGCCTTGTTACTGAAACAACATATAAGAGTTTAAGAAAAGCTTAAAGTTTTAAAAGTTTTCATTTTAAACTTGGATTATGCTAAGACTATTAAGGAATAATTATATATAATTTGGGATGAGTAAATTCTGATTTTATCACTTTATTTGATTTTTAATTTAAGTAACTAGTAACATAAGTATTATGTTACCGTTTATCAATGAATTCTAACGGCTTTAAAAATTTTAAATATTCTATTTCTTTCGTATGTATAATCTACATGCATCTCAATTTCTCTTCCTTATTTAAATTTATGCCTTTGAATATACGCTCGTTTCAATAAATGTTGGATTGATGACAGTGATTCAGAAACCAAATAATGGGAATCTTTAAGTTGGTATGTACAACGCTTTTGTAATTCAAAATTAAGAGTGTGTGACTATTGTATGTACTAATATTTCGGCTTACTTTCTTTCTTATTCTTTAAAATAGATATCACGCACTTTTACTGATAAATGTCCGATATAGATGTAATAAAATACATCTTGAAATGCAAGATTGGTTACAAAATTACTTGTTCCGTTTTACTGTGGTTATGTATGACCTGTATCTGATTTTATAATCATATGAAATACTCAGGTCCATCTTGATTCATACCGTAGTGGCCGATGTCAGCATTCAACATACCCACAACTATTGTTTATTCCTAACATGCATTGATTATCTTATTTAAAGGAATGTTTTGTATCATATAACATATCATAAGTAACACAATATAAAATAAATATATTCTGAAAAGGTAAATAAATAGAGGATATTTGTTTGTTTTGCATGTAAGATTGAAATATAATTTCACTGAGTGAACATCAGATGCAATATTTTCACGAGTGGCGTAGCCACGAGTGAAAATATAATAGCTGGTGTTCACGAATGAAATATTTTTCAATCTTATATGTAAAACAAATAAATTTTCTTTTTATTTCATGCTTTTTAAGTGATTTTAAGTATTTTTTTACTGGTTTTGCCGCGTAACGTCACGCATTCTCCTTTGTGACGTCATCACATCATGACGTCACATAATCTATTTTGAAATATAGGTCTGTTAAATTTCTTTAATTTTGTTACGTTTTTAACATGATGTATGATGACATCGACATTCTTTTCCTAAAGAAGCAAAATTTACGCACGACGGCATTAATTTCTGCCTGTTATTCCATTTAGTTATGATTTTCTTTTCATCCGCATTCAGATATAGTCCGGCTACAGTGAAAATTATATTTTATAAATTTCACTAGTGGTTTATCAGAATATAATCATCTGATATATTACAATAAAACACTGGAAAGCATGAAATAAATGTATATTTACTGTGAAACGTGGAGATTATATCATGCAAACCTTCTTGAGTAATATTTCCTTCCTAGAAACAGAAAAGGTGTCCTTTCAATCATCGTTTATATACTTAGGCCTAACATACAAATCTATAGGTCAAGAGTTTAAAACAGCTGGCTCTTTTCAAACATTATTTAACGTCAATATTATGCATTTTTATTGGTTAATAGTTTGATTGTTTTAGCAAGGTTTTTAGAAGTGCTTTGGTGAGTTGCGTTCAAGTCTGAAATGTTCTGTAAAAACTACAGTTAATTACGTTTTTTTATGTTTAAATGCTTTTTTGTTAATACAAGAATAATTGTAACAGTACATTCAATAATAATAAACTAAAGGTGATATAACCTTTAAAAAAGATATCATATTATGAATTATGATATTATCGACTTGATCATTGATCAAAATGATTCGATTTATACTAACGCCACACAAGCTGCCAAAAGTCAGCGACTTATTACGTCCTTCCTTTAAGTCAAACAGATAATCAGATAAAAAAATGAAAATCCTAGAAGAAAAATGAAATTGAATGTTAACAATCATATTGTCATATACGTGACGTGAATTATAATGAATGTTCCACATGAGTTAATAACAATAAATATTTCAGCGACCTTGCTAGATAATAATTTACATATTTCTGCATTTTAATATTGTAACAACGAGATCCTTACATACTTGTGAAAATGTAAATCTTTAGAAATAACAAAATATAACATAACAATATTCAAAATAGAAATAAACAAACAAAAACAAAACGTTATATTTGTAAAAAATATTACTGCTTAGCAAAATTGGTCAACATCTAAACTATCGAGATAACTGCCAATATGTGTCATTGAATGAAATAAAAGCCACTTAAATTTTAACAATAGACGTTCCTTAATAATAATAATGATAATAATAATAATAGTTATAATAATAATAATAATGATGATAATAATAATAAAATTAATCTTAAAAAGAAAACAAAACAACTGCATATCATTTAATTTTATTTGTACTATATCTATTTTACACGTATTCACTAGTATCTCTCATAGCAGCCGATTCTCTGATATAACAGGAATTCATAATAAAAAGTAAAAATGTATATGACAACAATTTTTAATCATTTCGTGCAATCATCTTGAACGTTAAATATTTCAATAATTACTTAATTTATATCCTTAATTATAATAATCAAAATGAACTTTTTACTAATTGGTTAATGTATTATCTTTGAAGTTTTAGACAATTATTTATAAATCATGGTATGAGTTTTAAGTTACTTTTGCAATAAAGTAGTATAACGTTTCTATTACGTAAATATCATATTGCATCTACTTCCCGTATTTTGTCTCGGACTATAGATTTTACAGTGAATTTTAAAAAAATGTTTGTACTGCTCAAGTAATTCAATTTAAAATCCGGTATTTAAATAAATGGATGTATATTTTTTTTTTTGCTTTTGATACTAAACAAAACAAAACGATATCAGTTTCTTTCAAATAGATAAATACATTATAAGTGCCATTAAGGTACGTCACATTTTCCAGTCATTAATAACAACAATACAGATATACTTTCAAATAATATTTGTTGAAAGCTATTGGAATTGATCCAATAGAATTAGGTAAATTAACTTACATATTTTCTCAATGATTATGCAAGACGTCCGTATTTACGTATTTAAGGTGAAATCTATCACTCTTTCAATATATGTTTCAGCATACTTTCGGTATTTCAATATCTTAATCTGATTAAATACTCTATCTTAGGCCCTGTCTACACCTATCCAAGTCTTGAATGCAAGTATTATATTCTCTTGTATTGGATAATGCAGACACCCTACTTAAATGGTTTTAACGAGAAATTATGTGACATCCATAAAGATAATTTCTTGCAAGAAAATTAGAACACATTCTATTTTGCTACAAGTTTTTGGTTGTCAAGAAACTGATAACACCGGTTTAACACAAAACATGTGCCCCAAAGGTGTGATATTGTTGTTATTTTTACTAGTTTTTAAATATTTTTTGATATTGATTAAGTTTTCATGACCTGTGAATTTCAGTAAATGTTCACAATGTTTTGGTCAAAGGAACAAATTGATACACTGATACACATAAGAGCAAAAATTATTCTGTTTATCAAAAGTATAAAGTATAATCAATAGATTTTAAATGAGCTTGTTCATTTATTGACTAACTTTCATCAAATAAAGAATTGGCTTCAATTTATAATCTCAAAATAGTTTTATTCACATTTCCTATTTTACACATTTCATTTACTCCATTATTTTTTTTTAGCTAATTGCATCATTTTCCCGCTTATTTATTCACACAATTTATAGAAACATAGCATGATAGCATTGCTAAGACAAACATATAAATCCTGGGCAATCTTAATAAGACATTTCAGTAAAAATTGTGCCTGATTATATGTTGTAAGGGCGGTTTATTAGGCTTATTTAAATGTGACATGTAAGAAACTTGAAAAGGTGTAGACGCGGCCTTACACAATTAAGATACTTGAACAATTTCTATGCACGTTTTTAAAAGATTAATGCTGTGGATGGAGAATGCATTTCTGGCTTTTGTCCAGATTTAATGTAGTAACTGTTTACTCCCTAGTTTAATAAATTTAAAATATGATGTCTTATAATTCACGATTACAAATAACAATAATTAATAGACTTTGAAAACAACAGAAAACATTTTAGGATAAAGGACCTGTTGAAAATTATAATAAGGTAAAACATATGATCTTTTATGTATTTTTAAAAAGAAACCGAGTGAGATTTAAGAAATAAAATAGAGGGGTCGCGGGACGAAGACACGCTAATTAGGAGGGGAGGGGGGGCGAGATTTAATAACTAAAACGGCGAGGTTGCGTGACGAGAACACGCTTATTAGGGGGAGGGGGACGCGGGCGAAGTTTAATAAATAAAACCTCGCCACGCGACCCCGCTAATTAGCGAAAACACGCTTATAAGCGGAGGTGTTTCCGCTCCGAGCCCCGTTTTATTTCTTAAATTTTGCTCCGCGCCCACCCGGGGTGAATTTTTATTTCTTTATCTTTGCCCCGAGCCCTCGCTAATAAGCGTGTATTCGCTCCGCTCTCCGCCATTTTAACTTGGTTAATTTTAGACTTTTCGCTTGGCGAGGTCGCGGGGCGAAAATATGAATGGCACAAATCAGCCACCATAATGCAGGCCTTCATAACCTCTGCTCCCCTCTCAAAATTCCATTTTGCTTCGATTCTATTGTCTTTAAGGGCACACGCTTTCTATTACTTGGGGACCATACGCCGCTTTTCATGGAATGGCATGGAAATGTCACATTGAAGGTTCCATGATTACCGCCGTATGAACACATCTGCGGATGTTTCGAAAAATGTAGCTGAAAATATGAATATGTTTTTATTTATATGTAAGGAACTTATGTGATACGGAATTTGTAAAACTCCTAAAGAAATCGATTTTTGTGATAAATGAGTGTGTACCTGTTATTTGGCCTCAGCTACGAAAACAAAAAGAAATGAAATTTCTAAATTAAAACGTAAAGGTGATTTCTTAATTTATATATTCCGTGAGTACCTGGCTGGTGACAGATACGCTGTACTTTATCACTTCAAAACCTGATAAGTAACAACAGAAATATTGATTCAAAACATACCTGAGGCGGCCAAAGGATCTAAAAGTGTACGTGGCAAAACCCCTTTGTTTACCTACTGTGCATAGGGTATTGCATCGAACATGTGAAACATGGTCATATATCACACGCCTTGTACTTAGTTAAAAGATCTTGTGTCACTTGCCTTATCAATGACCCTAAGTTAGTGTAATATTTATCACGACTTTTTATTGACTTAGTGCCATATAACTTAAATTTAATCCAAAGTTTGTGTAATAGTTTTCAATATTCCAGTCGTCCATTCTAACTCGGTTATTTCTTAATGAAGCATATTTGTTAAGTCTTTAGCTACTTGAGTATGGAAGATAGTAAGTAAGGAAAATTGTTTTTTTTTATTTTGAAACGATTCTTTTAAAAGTGTTTGCTGTCAAGTATGATTATCATTGTCTGTTAATGTAGCAATCTTATTGCGCTGAAATTAAAACACAATCTTAGGGGCGTGTGGGATGCTGCATTTATCCCTCATGTACACACACAATCAAACCGTGTCTCCAATGTTCATGTAATGTTTCTGTTATTAATTCTTCCGTGTGATAACTTTTTTACAGACATATACACTTGTTTTCTTTAATTTATATAATTTCAAAAATAACTTTTATTCTTTTTATCAAACTAAAGCAAACTGAACAACACAAGATCACAATTCTTTCTATACCCGATGCACTTCAAGTAAAAATATCATGAAGTAAATGAAATAATACCAACATAAATACACCGTTGCCAAACCCGTCTGTAACATAAGATATTCTGATGCGCGGTATTTTATGTTGTTAAAAAGCATATTTGTACAATGTTTAAAATCTAATATGGAGTTAAATAAAAGTAATCGTGTACATAAACACAAAATGGAACATGGTTTATAATTCTATAATAACAAAGAATTTATTTTTTAAAACATTTTCCTTACAGATTATGCATGCCACTGTCACATGGCTTATTGTGTGCAAAACAGCAAAAGGTAAGGGGCTTTTGTCGTTCTTCCATACTGTTCTCAATGATCAGACATAGTTTTGCAAAGTCCAAATTGATCAGCATATTTTCTGTAGATTAATAAACAAACATAATAACTATATTTAATTCAAGAGATGTCATGCTTTGTTCACACGATCTTGAAATCCTTACAAATAAACGTTCCATGTAAAATATCAATTTTTGACGTTTATTTTGTCTATCCTCTAGTGTTGACATGTGGCCTTAAATTCAAGCCTTACCACTGATTCCTCGAAATCGATTACCAGTTATTGCCCCACTTTGGATTGAGGTATCCCAAAGAAAATATTCCAATGAGAATCTCACGTCCGCTGAGAACAAATCAGTCAGCTTCAGATTAAAGTAGGCTGTCCACTCCATACGTTCTCCTACTTTATTGTATACTCATCATTATGAATGTTGGAATTATTTATTATTATTTGGTTGAATTTCCAGTTCATGTGTCTGTTTTTCTTCGCTATGTTTGTGTTCCTGTATTTAAGGAAACCATTTTTATTTAAAGTACTTCCTTATTATTATTACTTGATATTAAACATATATATATTTTTGAAAGAAGATTAAAATATCTTCGTTATGATACAAAGATTATTTTATTTCATTGAGTTTAAGTTTATAAATTGCTTACAGAAATAATCATAAGAAAAGTAAAAATGTACCAAAATTATTAAGCAAATAATAAATATTACTGTTTATTTCACAAAGATGAATGAGTCAGATCATGTTTTTGTGCAAATATTGTTAACATCAAATATGTAAGTAACTTGTGTGTACAAACTGAAATATTATATTTAACAAAAATGCAGTTAATCACAATATAATCTACAAACCTGTCACTAAGTTTTAGCCAGCCGAAAGACAATCGCACGTACAATGGAAATTTGACCCATGATCTAGGTTAAGTCAAGAGTTTGGTGCTCTACTTTTACAAGTTTCGCCGTTCTTTTTCCGTACACTGAAGCAATGATGTTATCACAGTCTAAAATGTCGTGTAAAGAAATGCAAGTTGTGTTGTAATTCATAATGTATAGAACTTTTAAATTACATGAAAATGATGGAATCATTTCTGGGACAAAGAAAAATATAGCTAGGGTCGGGTTATTTTTGGTAAAAAACCCATTCAAATATACACTTGATGTAAGGATAGTAGTTATTTGAAGACAAACATTAATATGTGTGTAAAATAAAAACAGATCAATGGCAGTAATGAAGTCACTGTCTCTACATTCAAACTCAAGGACAAATTATTTAAGAATAATTAAAAGGTGTGGCTTCGTTGTGCTGACCATAAAAGGATTTATCATGAAAAGAGTTAAGTTTTAGGAATAACGGGATAGAATTGTGAATCGAGAGGAAGTCTATTAACATCTACAGTCACGAGTTACAAACCCTAATGCAATGTCTAAATTAAGAATCATATGGATTTCTTCTGATACGTTCGTATTAGCTATATTGAAGCCTGTGGTCAAGGGATATCATAACATGCTCGTTTAGGGGGTGAGAAGTTTGTAGTTCGAACCCCGGTCTAGGCGACTGTTCTAAATGCTCATGTATCATCAAGTGTTTATCTTGTATTAAAATAATTATCTTGTGTATTATTTATTGAAAATATCTATTTAAGTATTCTGTAATGTGTTTGAAATATATGTTTGAAGTGATACAGGGAATGGGCGATTTAATTTAAAATACAGGTGACATGCAAATACTTTTTGTTTAGTTATCTCTGAATCTTTTTGTAAGTAGAAACATATGTTTACTAAACAGAAAGCGCACATAAACTATAAAAGCGCAATCATGTGGCATTTTCAATTTAGCCTAAATGAAATACATCTATTTTGTTTACATTAAAATAACATTATGAATTCTAGCATCCGGCTTATTCTTTTCCTATTAAACAGACAGTACAATCATGAAGTGCGTTATCAACAAAAATGTTTACGGCATAAAAAGAATACTTATACATCATATGACATTTGAAACGCCGTCAATTCAATTGAATTGGAACCTTGCATTTTTCTATAACAAGGCGCTCAATAGAGAATAACATGCTACTGTCTTTTGATATCAATTTTATCAGGCAAGGCTGATATGGGCTAGAAAGGGCGAGGCTTGCCGAGCCCTTTCTGCCCATATCAGCCGAGCCTGATAAAATTGATATCAAAAGACAGTAGCATGTTTTTCTATTTATCATGTAACACATGAAAACTGTCAAAATAACAAAATAATCTACTTTAAAATAGCGAATTTCGTAAAACAAGGGGATTATTGTTCAAAGAAATAATTCTTGAAAACAAATTCCTCCGCCCCTGAAACTTAGAATTTGTAATTTACTAAATGGCGGCCATTTTTTCTTTCGACTCGGATAAAAGATACAACAGAATGTAGGCCTAACACGATAAAATTCTTACCTTTAATCTAAACTTCGATCCAAAAATTCCCTTAGAATCACATTTATAAACTTTACTGCACTTTTTGTCTTGAATTGACAAATTCAAAAGTTCACAATAATTTCAATCAAACAAAAGTCAAATCGGCAATCAAACACACGCTACACAAACATGCGTTTTATTTTTTAAACGAAACAATTTGTTCACGTATTAAATAATCCGGCGAAATAGGTAAACATTCACAAGTTCTCAAATAAAATCATCTAGCCTGTTTGTTATGATTACATGTACAATATAGTATGACGTGAACATTGATGATGTCATTTGCAATATAAATTATGACGTCACTTCATGTAGTTGGTGCTAAAACTATTCGCTATCTATTTTATTCGTAATTGAAATCGAAATCGAAATGATAAATAAATAAATATCGCATCTTGATTGAAGACTTGTAAGGGTATGAGATTACATTGAAGAATTCACATACTGATAAAAATGAGAATATAAGCAATTGAAAAAAGTCCGTTAAAATGGGCGTGGCTTATTTTTGATATCAGGTTACTGACCTGATATCAAAAATAATTATCAGGCAAGTGTTATCGGGCAGTTACCATGGCAGTTGCATGATAAAAGATGATATCTGTTTTCATATAATGGATTAACCATTGTTTTGAAAAAGTAATTTATACAATAATACTTAGATTTAAAAACGTACAATGTTCAGTTTAATAATGTTCAATCTATTGTATGTCAACCTATAGTTGTGTACACTTAACATTTATTATATGCCAATGTTTTAAAAGTTTTTTTTAATAATATATACATATAAAACAGAGAAAATTTAGCGCGTTAAATTGTACGTTTTTAAAACTTAGTATTATTGTTATAACCTTGTTATCAATTCTCATGTCAAGAATATAGGATGACAGTCGTTTGCTGATACAATAGATTTCATTATTGAACATTGTATTATTGTATAAACATTTTTTTCGTGTAGAAAGATTCCATTATTTAGCCGATACTAGGGACCTTGACGGTAGTTTGCACTTGACAGTACCGCCGAGAAACAGGCTCTATCAAACCGAGCCTGCAACATTTATGTTGAATTCTGCTTAAGCTGGTGATAGTGGGCGTGGACGGTAACTTACCAGTACCGTCCATAAATAGACTCAATCAAACCGACCTTCAACATTTCATAATTTTGCCTCGTTGGGCTTTCTTTAGGGATTCTGTTTTTCTCTATATACATTTTATTAAAAAAATTTAGCATATAATAAATGTTAAGTGGGCACGTTGTAACACGTTTAATATGGTATAAAATAAGTATAAAGTTAAGAAAAAGGTATGTCTAGCTGTAATTTACAATTATAAAATATGTGATAAAACGAAAAAAAGCGAATTCATTATTTTGCATGCATTAAGTACATTTTAGTATGTAATAAGCTGGTGTTATGTAAGTGTTACATTTTCTGAGAAGGTATGTATAGCTGTTACGTCTATAACCCTGAACACTGACACTATTAATAGTTTGTTTTAAAGCGTTAAATGAAATGAGTATAAACTTTCTTATAAACAAGGTATAGTTTCATATTGTTAAGTTCCTGTAGAAAGATTCCATGGACTGGACTGTATTTTGCACTTGGCAGTACAGTCCATGAACAGGCTCAATCAAACCGAGCCTGCAGCATTTAGGTTTTGCCGTGTTTGCCTTTCTTTGGGGATTCTTATTTTCTCTATTTTGTCGCCACATCAGCGTTGTTTGTGCGTGTGGCGGCTGTAAAAAGTCGCCCCATACATTCAATCAGAGATGTTATATATCCGATCCTTAAAAATCGTTCAGCACGACATTATTGTTGTGCTTGTGGTAATCTAGTTCTATCTATTTGGCTATTTTGTTTTAGGGTGGTTCCAGTATTTCTCACTTGAATATTTTTGGATATGTGGCCTGCTTTTTAATTTGTTTTTTGAAGTCTGATCGGTGATATGCAGGCTTCATAACCTCTGATCAACTTTCAAAATTGAATTTTATTTAGTTCCTCCCATTATTTTCTCGTTTAGGGCATTTTTTACTTGGGGACCATATGCTTTTCATTGAATGGTACTTACGTGTCACATTGAAGGTTCCATGATAACCCCCATATGAACACATCTGCGGATGTTTCTGCTTAAGCCGGTGCTAGGTGGCGTGGACGGTCCATTAACAGGCTCCATCAAATCGAGCCTGCAACTTTATTCCGTGGTATAATATCCCATTCGTGATGAAGGTATCATTTTTCAGCTTTATTGCGTCTGAGTAATTTATAAATTTCTATGTTCGATTGTTTTATGGGTAAAGGAGGTAATTTACTTTTAACCCTAGTTTTGATTGATTCGTTGGATCCAGAGTTGCGGTATAGCTATTCATAGCATATCGATTTCGAATAGCCAATTCGATTTAATTCTGAGTTTTGAAAGAATAAAATGTTAATTGATTTCGGCATTTGTATCGAAAATATACGTTTTTAAAACTATGTCGGAGTTTATCCAACTATGAAAATATAAAGATTTTTTTTGTTCATAGCCTCAACTTCTTTACATACATGGT